TTCATCCCCCCCTCCTTTTTCTCTCCTTACAGACGTCATCTGTTTCATTACCAAAGTGATTAGCTGATGACATTTTAATGGAAAAATTAAGAATTAGTATATATAAGAAATTTTCTTTCAAGACATTTTCATTAATACTTATTATTTTACTTTATTTCTTAAAAATATTTGTTGTTTTATAAAATGAAGTTTACTTGCATGCTCCTGGGAAATAATTAGAAAGAAAGCATAACACTTAAGGAAAAGGGATTGTTTTTTTTCTTCTGAAGCTCCCCCCCACTTTCTTTTGGTTGAGATTTTTAGTCATTTAAGATCACGATACTTGGATTCAATGGAAATGCGAGGTCAACCATGCCATCCACCTTTCCTGTCATTTTTGTATAATAAGTAGAGGCTTTTCCAGGGCATTAATTGTCAACACTAAATGCCTTGTTAAATGACAATCTACTTTAGAATAGCTCAGATATTGCTAAATACATTTCTCCTGTGTACATACATAAGTAAATATAAATATACGCAAAGGTGTGTGTGTATGTATTATTCTAAATATGAGTGTTGTTATATTTTTCTGTGTTTATATATGTATATGTGTGTGTGTGTGTATGTATATAGTCTCTATATTAAAAAGCAGAGAAAAATAAATTAACACTCATATATTTAGAATTATATACATACATATATGTGTGTGTGTGTGTATTTATGTATATACATGAAAGAAGTTATCTATCTATCTATATATATACATATACATATATATAAACAAATTGTCACCACTCAGTATTAACCTCACTGCCCAATTTTATATTTACACATACTCTATCTCTGATATTGAGTATTGTTCCCTCTAAACATAGCATGTCTTGAAATTATCACACACATACACACACAAAAAAGACTTTGCTAATTTTACTTGTATTCAAATAATAAACAAAATACATGCACACACACACACACAATGACACATTATGGGCATATCACATTGAAATACCAGTTCTCGTACAATCATTGAAGTTAAGCAATGTCAAGCCTGGTCAGTACCTAGATGCATGACTGCTTGTGAATACCAGATGCTGTAAGCTTGGATGTGTTGGTGGTATAATGGATAATGGCTCAGAATTGTTAATTGGAGAGCTGAGTTTCAATTCCAGTTGGGTTCATTATATTCACTTACACACAGATACCCTTGGAAAAGGTATTAATCCACCTCTTCTCCCCCCAGCCTTGGGTTAATTTTAGAACTTTTATTAAGAAATCATTATTATCTCCAAAAAATTATTACAGTTAAAAAATACTTCAAGGTTTTACATAAACTGCAAGAACTTGATAATCTGTAAAAACCAGATGAATCTAGATTTTATTATGCAAGTCAATGTTTTCTCAATAAAACTGATATTACTCAAACAATGCCAATGTTTTCATTATATATTTATATTGATATGTTAATTTTTATTGATTTTGCTCTTTAATATTTTTCTTTTTCTTATATTCTTTCATACTCAGTAACCCTTTGCATCTTAGTTGTTTTATTGCCTTGCTTGGGGTGAAATGAGAAAAAAAAATGCTATATTAATTTTTATTTGCAATACTTGTTTTCTTAGAAATAATTCCAATAACTTATTTCATTATTTGAAATTTTATTTTACAATTCAAGAGTTGTTTATTGCATTCTAAATAAATATATATAGTACTTTAGTTATTGATATTTATTTTTTAATTTCCAGCATATAAAGTTATAACATCAAAAGAAACATAATGGAAACATAATGATAGAAACTGCAATAAGGTTGAATCAAGATTAAAGAAAATTAAAAAAGAAGAAGCTGAAAACATTGGCATGAATAAGAATAAAATGACTTAAAAACAACTGTAATAATAGATTTGAGAAAATGTAATAGTGTATTAAACAAGAAATGTGGTTTGACCAACAAGAAAATATCTGAAAAAAAAAAGAAAGAAAGAAGAAAAAAGAAAAAAAGAAAGAAAGAAAAATGGTGTCACTGTAAGCAGAAAGAAAATGTGCAGAGTATTAAGAAAATTGGCTGATGACAGCGACATAACTGCTACCTTTAAATAAACACCACAAAAAGAAATATGTAAATTGAGTGAAGAAGTACATGAAAACTGATTTCTCAGCAGTAATTTTAGTGATGAATGTAGAGCTACATTGGATGGATCTGGCTGCTTGGCTGGAGCTCGGGGTTTCATGGAAATAGTAAATCAACACAATTTAGGCAAAACCAATCAAAAGGTGGAGTAACATTTTCAGCTCATATTGTAGGCAGGAAAGTTACAGGCTCCTTCAGAGTTGATGGCATCAAAATAAATACAGAGAAATACTGTAAGTCCTTGGCTTGGACAAGACACTTTTTTGAGTGTCACAGGTTGCAACAAATAAGATTTTACCTGAAGAGTATATAAAGGCAAAACAATGCTTCTTCAAATTTTACAAAGCTGATTATTTTTAAAAAAAATAAGAAAGAAAAGAAAAGGGTTTCAAATATACCAAATTAATGGAATGGCTTTTAGCTTCTCCAGATATTAATCCTATAGAAAACTTGTATGCCATTATTAAAAAAAAAAAAAAAAACGGAAAAATATCTATGAAAATAGAAAACAAGATTCAAGCAAAGATCTTAGGAAGGTCATGGTGGAGTAATGGATAGCGGCTTGGATCAGAGAGCCAAGTCCAAATTCCAGTCGAATCCATTACATTCACTCATGTGCTAATACTTTTGGGAAAGGTATGAATCCTCTTTTTCTCCCCCCAGCTAATTGGTAAATAGCAGGGCAGACCGGGTTCAATAGACTTGGATGGCAACTGTTCTACCACAGAAAGAAATGGCAACCTACTGTGGGAAATAAATCTGTCTCGTCAGTCATGTATTGAAAGATACATGATCGCCTAAGCGTGTATCACACAT